TTTCAATCTACACACCTAGTCAAATTAGTGATTAACTGTAATTAATCCAACTCTACATTATTAATCTGGAATTTTTAACACAGAATTCTTGACTACTTTGGCTATCACATTCTTCAACTAGCCAGTGACTTTTCATTCTATTGTATGCAGATACCACCATTTTCATTAAATTGCCATGGAAGGAGGAAGTTGCAACAACCAACTTTATGCTCAGGATTTTATGTTTAATGAGGATCTGGACTTCCCTGCCAACTCAAAAACATCTGGAATAAGTCTCAACTTCCTCCCAGTGGAACCCATGGGTGAAGATGCACTGCTGGTCTATATGTTGAATGCTTAAGATCTCAACGAGTTGGTTGTTGGTTTATTTTAAAGTCCCCCATGGGCCAGACAGCCCAGTCAGAAGGATTTCCACTCTTAGAGCTTCAGCTGCCATTGGACAGAGCACCAGGAAACACCCTGGAGAAGTTGAATCCAACTTTCAACAGTGGTTGAATTGAGAAAGCTAGAGCAAGAGCTACCAACTGACACAACACTGGCAGACAAGAAGGAATCATTGCAGTTATCTTAATTGAGGGTGTTTAAAACTAGGACCACTACATTCCAAAGTCAAAGACCTTCTGTGGATTAAGGTCACTTTAATGGACAACTGAATGATATCTGTGAAAGCTTAATTGGCACAACCACAAATTATGGCAGTGATTACAGTGACCAACACCACCAGGGATCACCACCTATCCCGACAACAATGTCAATGACAATGAGGACTTTGAAAGTGAATTAGATACTTCATCCTCGACAACCTTGCCATAGTAGTAAATTATCTAAGTCAGCAAAGCCACCAAAGTAACACTCTACTGCTATTAAGTTAAGCTAATAGAAGTTTAGGATGTATTTATAAACACACAGATGGCAAGTCAAAAAGAGATAAATTCTTTGTATATACAATGTATATAAATCACTAGTTAGGCCTTACTTGGAATGATATGCACAGTTTTGGTCCTCTTTCTTAGAGTTCAGAGGAGGGGCTACCGCATGTAGGATGATTTCAGGTATTAATTAATATTAACTTCTGATCAGAGCAAGCTACATACTTAGAACAAAACTAAAAATCAACCTGGTAATGGGTATGGCTAATTAAATACACTTATTTTTGTACTGATAAAGATTAGAATGTATTGTTTCATCAGTTGGACACCCTCCTGTTAATGAACACTTATTTCATAAAGATAGATTAAGAACTTATTTTCTCTTGAGAAAAAAAGGGTGAGGTGATCTTACTGAAGTTTCCAAGATTAAGTGCAGGATCAATGAGATAAAGGCCTAAGATTTATTTTTGTTATATTCTGAAGGAAATAGGATGAGAGGAAATAAATTTAAAATTTGAAAATAATGACAGTTAACCCAGTATATTTTTCTACCAGTATGATTGACTTAAAAGGAGTTGTGATTGGCAATAATTTAAGAGAGGAATCAATGATTTCATAAAAAGTATAAAGTGGGTTTAAATCTTTACTTTTCTTTAGTGTGGATGTGTAACAGCAGCCTTAGAATACCAAATGGTACCTTGTTGATTTACATTTTCTGGATAATGGAAAGTGTATAGCTTTGGTGTACTTGGATTTTTAAAAATCTTTTGATAAGGTGCTACACAGATACTAAGAAAATTATATCAAAGGGGATTAAAGAAACACCAGTTAATTGGATTATATGGTGGATGGGTGAGAGAAGGCAAACGTTATTAATGGAGTCTTGTCAAACTAGTGATATGCCTCACAGGTTAGTATATGGAGCTTGCTCTCTCTTATCTATATTTATGCATTGATTGGGGTATAATTAGTAAATAAGTAAAGTTTACTGATGACATAAAACTGTTTCTAACTGTATTGAGGATGTTAGGACATTACAGAATGACTTAGATCAATTGATAAATTAGACAAACAGTTTGCAATTAGCCTTTACTTAGAGTAAATGCAAGTTAATAGATTTAGGTCCCAAGTTTAATATACTCTACATAAGAATACACTCAATAATGTGACTTAATAAAAGGATTTTAACAAAGTAGTAGATAAGTCACTCAAATCAAGGCAGCATTCTGTTGCTATTAGTAAAGCTGACAGAATTTTAACAGAGTAGTAGATAAGTCACTGAAATCATCAAGGCAACATTCTGTTGCTATTAGTAAAGCTAATAGGATTTTACAAATTATTTCTAGACATGATAATTATAAGTCAAAAGAAGTTATTATCTCTTTACACAAATCATCAGTTAGGCCTAAGTTGGAGATTGTGTGCGCTTATGGTCTCCTTATCTAAGAAAGGATATTGACTAACTCGAGATGGTTCAGAAAAGGGCTATTACTAATTCTGGAGATGGAAGGGTTTCTTATGAGGATAAATTACGAAGTCATAACATATTTTCTGTTTAGTAAAATAGGGTAAAAGGTGTTTGTACTGTAGCTCATAAGATTATTCAGGGAGATTGAGTCTCAATTTCTTTCTGTATCCTGCAGACAACAGGGTGAAAAAACAAAAGCTTATGATTTGGAAAAGTCAAACTCCAGTTAAAACCGTTTTATTTTTCTAACAAAGGATTGGCTTATGACTGAATTTAGATACATAGTAGTACAAGTTGTCATCTTAAAGGCAATAGAGGGATTTCAACTGCTAATGAATTTGACTTTTGGTTTGAGTTTCTTGATAGCTAAATTTTTTTAATTCTTACAATTTGTTCATTGTTTAAAACACATATCATAATGATATCATTTACTTTTACAGTCCCATCACATTCTTCGACTAGATATTTGTATGCCCCCCCAGTAGCACAGCGGTATGTCTGCGGACTTAAAACGCTAGAAACCGGGTTTCGATACCCGTGGTGGGCAGAGCACAGATAGCCCAGTGTATAGCTTTGTGCATAACTACAAACAAACAAGATATTTGTAGAGGTTTGACAGAACTAGGAACTTGGTTTTAAATTCTCTTTTATACATTTCTCAAAATGATGCATGGTTGATCACATGTAATCTCATTCACTTTGAGAACAAATATACTGGTGGACAACATAAGAGCATTGAAATTCAGTAATTCTGTCCTTCATCTTGAAAATGGTCTCTATTCTCACCACTGATTTCAAAACTACATCCTGAAAGTGTGGTTAGCTTGATTTAAAGATATTTTTGATTTTATTATTCAAAACATAATTTACCACAGGTGAAAGACTGTTTTGGAATCAGAGTTTAGGAACATCATAACTAACTTTATAAGGAGTGCACACACTATTTAAAAACATTTTAAAATGTTGTCAAGTAAGTAATAAATGGAAATCATTTTTTAAAAACACATTTTTCACACTTTCTATTTGTTTACAAAAATAATAATAAACATTGGCAATATAAAAAGCTCTATAAAAGAAATCTTTAATACTATTTAAGAGGAGAATAGATGGTTTCATGAAAAAACAAAGGATGAACTTAAATCTTTACTTTTCCTCAGAAATGGGTGTACAAGGAAAGCTGTGATAAACCAGATGGTTTCCTGTTGTCCATAATGTTGTGTTAATAATTTTATTTGTTTAATATCAGTTAATGAGGTTAATTTACTTAAAAATATACCATTTCAAACACTATATACACATATACTGTACATTTTTTCTGCTATAAGACTCACACATGAGACGTATTTTGAATCACATGCTTAAACAACATTCCACACCTTCTATCCATTTTTTATCATACAATGAGAAATGTGTCTACATGTAATATGACTTAAGAACCTGCAATAAAGTCACAAGCTTATGTTTGGCCTGTATTACTAAAAATTATGCATTGCACAATATGAGATGAAATTAATAAATAATGAACAACATAAGTAGAGATGACAAGTGGCCATTCATAATCCAAATGACAATAGTTTCCAACTATTTCATTACTAGATGATCAGCTAATCTTTAAGGCAGTCATTAGATAAAACACACACAAAAACATTAAAAATGGTTTTTCTTATGATGCAAGTGTATATATAGTTTGTAGAAAGAAAAGTGGCTAGAATCTTGCTATGATGTGTTGGTTAACAATAATGAAATATGCTAATGTTTTATAGCATTGGTATTCAGGTCATTCTTTAGAGGACTGCCCTTTCACATTCTGTCCAATTGAATTTGCTTAAAACATAAGTTCTCTTTGCAATTTAAAGATATAAATTACAGCAATAAGGGTGAAAATGCATGTTTATTTTTTTGGATAGTTATGATTTAGATCTTGCACATCCTACAAGAAATGTGAATTTCACCTTACACAATAAACAAACACATTCTTAAATAAAATCTTATTATTTTATAACTTCTATAATGTTTGAAAAATTAAAATAACTTTACTTCTACAGCCTACTTGGAAAACAAATATTGCAAAACTAGCCTTGTACTGCAGACATATTAAATATTTTTCACAAGATGATGTAGATAATAATTTGATATTATTATTATTACAGTATTAATACTACAACGTTACTATACTATTAGTATTACTACTAAACTGCTCAACAAGTTTGGAATAGAAAAAATATATATCATAATATGCTTTTGATGTTTAATTTCATAGTTTAAACGTTTTCTGTTCCTAACTTTAGTTAAAGTTCTAAGCTGACTCAACAATTAGAATATTTATTTATATGTGTTAAAACTTATATTAAGTAAATTATTTCATATTATTTCACACACAAAAAATACCAAAACATTAACGACTGTGACAAATATATATTGCATAACTTGACGGTGTTGTTCCATCGCAAACAAAGCGTTAAAAGTTAAGAAACCAAAGAGCTTTGAACTTATCAATTTATGTCTGATCTGCCAAGCTAAAATTTAGAGAACACAAGATTCAAATACAAAATTATAATGACAATTTGGGGATGGGTAATGGAGGACATCAACCGACCAAGTTAAATTAAAAATTATATTTAAAAAGTCATCTTCAACTGAACGAAACCTAATTCAACACTTACCACAGCTTTAAAACTACTGTACAGTAGATAATAATTCACTCTGACGTTAGGCTTTCACTAACAATACCTTCGATAGGTAATAGTACAGTATGTTAGGCCTAACTCAAAACCGTTTATTTTTCAAAACTCGTCAGTCACGTCAATGGTCATACCAATACCTCAGTATGGCTTAGTAATATTTATTATTTGGTTCATTAAAACCGCTCATATGTAGATAATTAAATAGGATTTGAATTAGGCATTACACATATATATATATATTTCAAACATGTTTTCAAAATTTATTGCAAACCACAAAAGAACAGAGGTTTACATTTTTCATTGGAAGGATATAACGTATGATAAATATGCGATACTAGAGTGTACTGCATCAGTGAATTTTTCTAGAATTGATTTGTCGTAGTATCCTTTTATTATAGCCTGGTGGTTATGGCGCTCAACTTCCAATGCGGGTCGCGGGATCGAAACCCGTCACCAAACATATTCACCCTTCCAGCTGAGAGGGCGTTATAACGTAACACTTAATCCCACTATTCCTTAAGAAAAGAGTAATCCACGAGTTGGCAGTGGGTGGTGTTGACTAGTTGCCTTCAAAATTTGGGATGACTAGCACAGATAGCCCTTGAATAGCATTGTGCGAAATTCAACAATCAAACCCTATATCCTTTTAAAATTAAAACAGTAAGCTAATTCGCTATTATTACCTGAGATGTCTCCCACCAAATAAAATCTGATATAAGTTCTATTGCGGGTTTAAGTCCTTTGTTTTTCAACTTCTCAAAACGTTATTTTTTTAAATGATAAAAAAATTATATACTGTGTACCAGACAGCTCAAGAGCAAACAGATGGAGAGAATTGAGCACATTTCAGAGTCTCTTCAGTGTAATGTTTCATTTGCTTTCTTATTCTTCTGAAATAGATTTAATATTTCAATTTAGGTGTTTTATATTGTTTGGCATGATGTGATGGTTATTTGTAAACCTAGTAATTTTTAAGTGAGTGTCTAAAATTTGACGTAACATCTTGAATTTTCCAGAGACTTGTAGAAAAACATTGTAATAACACCAAAATACAAGACAATGGTTGATGATTAGGGAGATTGTCTGTTTCAAGACAGCAAGCAGGTTTTGGACCAATGTTCGCCAGCGTGTACCATCGCGAAAGCGTTTATTTTTATCATTGGCTCGAACTTTGGCTAAATGACTATAGCCAACATGGTGCTGACAATATTCCAACTTTTAATATTAATTATACTGTTGTAACGTGTTCTATCATTGGGACGATTGTTTTGGATTATTTTATAAAAATAATGCGAAATTCAGACCATGTAACAATAACAAATTTATTTATTTATTCAATGACGTATGCTACAGGCTATGCTTTATGGTATTGCATGGTAGGCATTAACTTCACAAATAGCTGTTAGGTATCTGCTTGTTTGTTAATTTGTATAAATTCTTTCCGAGAAACTTCAGTGATACAAGCCCTTTCTTAAATAAAACTAGTTTATTCTTTCTCGATACAACTTTGTAATACACAGAATTTCCACGGTCACTTTAAACTTAACAACCTTTACAACATACGCTATAATACACAGTGATTCACAAACTTTAGTTACGGTGCCTACTGTTCGCTTAACTCAATTATCTATCTCTTCAATCTATCTCTTCGATCTATTTGCATATCTATTAAATCTATGCCTTCACGCTGGTTTTTCTCGCCAGGCTTATATACTAAAAAAAGAGGGCGCCTGGCAAACACTCGGACATTCGCGAGGTTCTTCGATAAGTCATGATCCTTCTAGAAACTCCAGCGTGTATGCTCCCAACGTCGCGTGACTTCCGTTGTAGTAACACTGCCCCTTCCTTAGTATTGTTCGTCCCGAACAATAGCCACATACATTAAACTAATACATAATCAACAATAACTTAATTAAATGTACAGAATTTACAAACACAAAATTAAAATTCAACAAAGTATCTTAATTTTACGGGACGTATCTTCTTCCGAACTGGTCTCCGTCTCATTGGCTTTTGCTTCACGTCGGGTTCATCTGCTCCATCAGGAAATGTCCTATTATCGGTAACAGTCACATCAGTGGTAGTAACTTCATTAACGGCTTCACTGCTTCCTTTCTCAAACCGGGTAGAGTTTCTTCTGCGACAGTGGCTTTTTCAAGTGACACGTCTTCAGCAGCGTCATTTGTTCTGTTGTTCACTTTGTTCCAACTCAAATGTCCTGGACCATGATAACACTAAAGCCTGTTGGCATGCACCACCTTTGGCTTACCTCGCTGACCACATTTTATTCGGAAAGTCACGTCTGAGAGACGATCCACTATGTCATATGGGCCTTCCCATGGAGAAGACAACTTAGGAGACTTCTCTTTGATCTTCCTGGAATTATACAACCACACCTTGTCTCCTGGTACAAAGCTGACTTCAGTAGATCTGTTATCATAACATAGCTTCATGGAATCAGAAGACGTTTTTAACTTTGAATGCACTTGAGGATGAATATCATCCATCCTTTCAGATAACACTTTCACGGACTCTGGCACATTTTCAGGCAACTCTTCGTAAGGTGGACATCCTGTTATCAGATCCATTGGCAACCAAAGTTTCCGACCAAACATCAGCTTTGCTGGGGTGTATCCAGTGGCTTCATGCTCTGCTGTTCTATAGGTCATCAACAGTGAAGGGAGTAAGACATCCCAGTCATCTTGGCAGCTATTACAAAACTTTGACAATTCCTGTCCAATTGTACATTTCTACCATTCCATCAGACTGTGGGTGAAGTGGCGTTGTCCTGGTCTTTCGTATGCCAAACAACTTGCTGCCTTCATGGAACACAGCTGATTCAAAGTTACGGTCTTGATCCGAATGCAGTTCGTATGGCATACCAAACCTGAAGAGGAAATCACTAATAGCCGAAGCTACAGTTGTAACTTCCTGATTTGGTATTGCATATGCCTCAGGCAACTTGGTGAAATAATCCATCACCACACACATGTACTTGTTTCCAGCAAGAGTTTGGGGCAAAGGACCAGCAATGTAAATGGCTACTCTTTCCATTGGTGCACCAACTTGATATAACTTCATTGGAGCACGTCCCTTATGCTTGGGTCCCCTTTTAGCACAACATTTACTGCAGGTCCTGCACCATTCTTCCACATCTTGCCTCATACCTATCCAGTAAAATCTACTGCCATAAGTGACTCAATGTCTTCTTAACTCCGAGATGTCCTCCTGTTAAACTATCATGGGATTGACGCAGCACAACTTCTCGTAACATTCTCGGTATAACTGTTTGCCAAGTCGTCACTTTTCTATCTGCAGTTTCCCATATCCGGATAAGAATACCATCTTCAAGCTTCAACTGGTCCCATTGTGCCCAATAGTTCTTTGTCACAGGGCTTAAACTAGACACCTTCTCCCAAGCAAAGCGCAAAACACTTGCTTTTGAAAATCAATTATTGGCATCAAATCTTGGTCTTT